ATTAATAAAGAATGCATGGAGCAGAGTTGTCTCTTATGCATCAGTTAGATTATGTTAGACCTAGAATTTACTTTCCGGATTTTCTGAAAATGATTATGCCTAAGAATTTGTGCTTTCTAAAATAATAATTAGATTGAGGTAACACCTCACTAAATTGCCATTATACTGCACTGGTTATCATGCGCTGATTATGTATGTCTTGCAACTCGTGTCATTGATCATGGACAGAAATTATTTAGGTGTTGCTGAGCAGTAACTGTGATGGGAAAGAATTTATTTCCACTGTAGCTGATATTTTGACCCTTTTGACCTAATGATCATATGGCCGCTGGAGTAAGTTTGCGTATGGCTTTTTTAGTTCTTTTTTCCTTTTTTCGTCTAATCTTATTTTTGAAATCCTCGTACATCTTGCTTAAACTTTTTGCATTTTAGGATTTTTTGAAGCAGACGAATGCTGTGAACAGTGGTGTAGGTTTAAAATTAATGCAGAAGATGGGTTGGACACCTGGTGAAGGTCTTGGGAAAGGGAGAGATGGTCCTCTTGAGCCTCTAGTTTTGGACATCAAATCTGACAGAAAAGGTTAGCGAACAGTGTTATTTTTTTAAGCAGTATAGAAGCTCAATTTGTAAAGTGACATGCTTAAGTCAATTTATAAAGATGACATTCTCAAGATACACAGTGTAGAAGACTTATTTGCTATGAGATTTTGCTCATGCAAAAATTGAGTAATTAAACCGAATAAAGTATGTCATCTACAACATCTGACATGTTGTACTTTTAAGAAATGTTGTACTTTCAACATTGCATATTTGTAATTTTATAAATTAATGTTTCTAACAGTTTGCACACATTACTGGTCAGTTGCATTTCAGGTTTGGTAGCAACAGAAGAACTTCCAGAGTTGAAGAAGTTACGCCCAAATCCTGCAAAAAATTTTGCTGGCATGACTTTTGGCTCTTACCTTTTGAATTTCTGCATATAGCTCTAAACTCTCTGATGTTAATATCAATTTCCATATAAAAATAAAATTTTTTACTATCTTGATTTTTTTTTTCAAAAGCACGGCGTTATTTCAGGAAAACATCCGGTATCTATTCTTATGGAGCTTTGCTCGAAAAAACGATGGAATGCCCCACAGTTCACATGTTTGGAGAGTGGACCATCGAATAACCGTAGATTTCTGTGGAAGGTGAGGAAATTTATGTATTTCCAGTTAGCTTCTATTGTTATATATTAACAAACAAAAGCTCAAACATGTTAGCAATATGTTTGAAATAGACTCTGAATAGAGGTCAAATTATAGGTAGTTTACATATATTCACTTCTTTTTAATAATTACCATCATATTCCAGGCTGTTGTTAATGGTGTTGAATATCAACCGTCTATTCCATCAACCAATAAAAAGACTGGGAAAGCTCAGACATGTCAGGTGGTTCTGCAATCTTTGGGTTTGATTCCACGCGACCCGTCATTACCAGTTGTTCTGTGAAATATTGCAATTCAGTTCCATCTTTATTGTGCGCATTTTGTTCCATGTTCATCTTTAAGTATCAAACCGTTTTCTAGTTAGAAATTCATAGTTCTAGCCTCTGGATTGGATTTTAGTGTCTTTAAATTGTCAAATTGAATTCGGAGAAAAAAGCATTTTGTTGATGTTATAATAGCAAGAGTGCTATAGTATGTGATAATTTTGTCTGAGTGTGTTGTCTTATTTTCGAGAGCAGAAATACGTCTAATCACTGAGGGGTATATTTTTTATTAGGATGAAAAACATCTCAAAGGGAAAACATCCCCTTGAATATATCAGCTTGGCAAGTTAATATATTTTTTCTTTTTGACGAGTGCAGGTTGCAAACAGTTTTTGTTCAATTTTTTTGTTGTCATTGTTTTGTTACAGTCGAATTATTTTTCTCAAAGCAGAGATAATACACACAGAAAAACATAATTTGTTTTGAAGAGAATTTTATAAAACATTGTGGAAATGAAATTATTTGTTGGAATAATTCACATATTTCGCAGAAGTATAAAAATTGAGGAACAGTGTAACCGAAGTAGATATTTGAAATTAAAATCGAGCGATAACATTGCTCTTAGCTATAACTCGGACGTCCATACGACAGTTGACCTCTTGCACCGCCACCGGCTGCATATCCTGCGCTTGGCTGCGGGGGAGGTGGAGGTGGAGGTGGGAGGGGTTGAGGTGCCATAGCTGAAAAGAAACACGTGACATATAGTCAAATTGAAATCTTTTAAAATCAAAAAAGGATAACAGTTAGAAATCAGTGATTAGAAATATTGAAGTCCATGCATGGAATAGTTCCAGATTATGATAGTTTCTAATTTTTAAATTTCATTAAATGAATGAAAGAATTACTACGTAAAATTACCTCCTTTGGCACCGTAATCGCTGCTTCCATCTTTAGCATCCAGATAATTATATCCTCCTCCTCCTCCTCCATTCCTTGGACTAGGTTGTCCTCCTTCATATATCATTCCTGCTCCATCACCACCATCATCACCACCAGCATCACCACCAACATCACCACCAACACCACCACCAACACCACCACCAACACCACCACTAACACCACCACCAGCATCACCACCTTTTACATATGAAGGTCGAGCATATCCGGAAGGGGAAGCGTTTACTAGTGCTACTGCTAGGATATTTACTGTAATCAGTAGCAGGATTCCTCCCGCGGTTTCTCTAGAAATCATACTATTCCCTGAAATCTAGATGTACCTCGCAGGGTCACAATTGACATCTTCAAACGATCCGTATATTATTCGGAATTGTTCAAATGCAATAGCAGTACTTACAAATCTTCATTACGTCAATTTCTAAAAACTTTAATTCGCCAGAATAGTCCCGTTTATTTTGCTTAATGTTTATAAAATTCATAGAAGTTAGTTCGTTTGACTTAAACCATCATTTAGCCTCAGGAATAAATCGATCTTCTCAGTATTCTTCTGTTTTGACATAATGCGATGAAAAATATACGAATTCGATTTAACTGTTTTTGATTCAATGAAAGGTTAAAATAAAACATGTTGAAAGAGAAATTAGGTCAAAAATTGTCAAGGAAATTTTGTAGGGAAAGTTAATGCACTCCGCTTTCAAAAGTGAGCATTTTTATAGCCACAAAATCGGAACAAAGAATGTGATTTGAAAAAAAAGTTAACAATTTGATGAAAAGGAGCTGGTTTGCTCTCCCATAACTACATTACCTGACTTTCGAAATAATAAATTATCTTGGCTTGTAAATTTGTACATTTAAAACTTGAATTATAACGCTTGCAAAATTTTCCACCATTCATTTTGTCTATGCTTCCATCATCATGATATTCTTTCTTTTTTCTTTGCGAATCATTTAAATTTTCCTCCATTGTCTAATTTATGCTAATGTTAATAATCACATTTTATGGAAATCCATTTCAGAAACAACAGCGCAACTTCAATTAGCATTCAACTGTTTTTTACATCCTATTTATTATATGAAAAGTATTTTTTTGCTTACAACAATTAATTTAGCAACAACAGTTAATTGGTTATGGTAAATTCTTGTAAGCTTAATAGCACTCATAATTGCAAGTTTCATTTTTTTAATCTGGAATCGTAAGATTATGGAATTCTAATTGATTTAAACAAATTTTAAAATTTTGAATTAAACAAGACGTGCATTTCTGTCGAATGTATTTGCGGGGTAGCATCATTTAATTACCTTTTGTCGCCAACGAGCAATTAACCAACATGTGGGTGTGTATGATTGATTTATTTGCTCTTCAACGTTTTTTGCACTGTGTGGTTGTTTTTTCCTGATAATTTGTTCAAAATTTATTCAGATTTAAAAAATTTGACCTCTCCCACTTCCAATAGATTTTTTCTGTATGGAAAACGAAGATGAAGAAATGTATAATTTTTAATTTTTTTCTCAAATTTTTAAGATGTGATGAATTTGAATTCAAAGCAAATACATGAAATTGTGCAATACTAAAGTGACTGTAGAGTCTGTTGATGTAAATGAATCAAACTAGTATGTATGGATTGTAACTGTAATCAATCTCGAAGACATTTGTTACCACGATAAATCAGTTAAAAGTACAGATGCGGTAACTTGTACTAATGAATCTTATCATCAAATACATCTTTAATTGTTGCCTTCAATTGTGAATTTAGTTGTAAAGTTTATAGTTTGCACGTTCAAGTATTTGTTAGAAGAGTTCCTTGATATCACAAACTACTATTTCAATGAGCAAATGATAGAAATAAATGCTAGTGTTTAAATGCTAGTGTTAATTTAAGTTAGATTAGCGATGTAAGTTATTTTGCTGCAAATTTTATACAATTTTACTTTCACATTAATACTTAGAAAAACCAATCTATGCATTTCAGAAGTTTTCAGAAATTTATTTCATATACTTTCAAAGCGACATTTCAAAGGCGCATAATCATATCACTAATTAATAATGTTGCAATAAAGATACCAATTGAAATTTATGCGCAAGAAGATCGCACAAATATTCAAAAATGTCGGGAAATTCAAGAATCATGATTCTTGACAAAATTCAAGAATCAAAATTCTGAAAAATATTAGTTTAGCAAGATATGCCCCTATAGCAATTTTAAGTGATATGATTAATTGTACAGTAATTCAAACCGTAAGATGCGGTTAAATAATTCAGGTTTCAAAGAACTGAGTATTAATCAGTTTCCAATTCATGATTTATTAAAACATTTTTTTATATATGCTAAATTCATTAAAAATATTATTTCGTTCCAGAAAGACACTTTAAATAAAGCCGCAGTAAAATTGTAGCTAACTGCAGTAACTGCATCAATGTATTAGCAAACAAATCGAAATTTGTGGATTATGAATTAAGGATGCATATGCATCAAAGTAAAAGCCTTAAATATATGAGTTTTCTAAAGTTAGAATGCTTGAGAAGACTTGAAATCCTATAAACATCTTTCACTGAAAGCAGATTTTTTTTCATTTCTCATAGCATAGGCCAATTTAGTAGTTCTTTACATTTATTGACAAATGGCTCCTCCTGAGATTACTAGCTGTTCGTAAAATATGTCGTGAAAATCGGGCTAAATGAAGGCATTAAATAACATAATTGCTTCTTCTAAACCATTTATAGATTTTCGCACTCCGTACTCAGTAATTGTTTCAAAAACGTTTTGATTATTTTCATGACAAGAAAATAGAACTCCATGTATTAATTTAAATGAATATTTATTTTGATATCTTCGACCATTTTGAACGGAGAAATGTTTTTAAGCTTAGAGATAAACAGCATAAATAACCGCTGCTGCAATATTACAGTTTCATTACAACTCTCTGTAAGCCTTCTTCAGATACTTTAATCATCAATGACTTCAGATATCTTAATCAATTTTGAAAAATTTATTTGCTAAGCAGCAATAACAAATAACTCTTTCAAATGACTTTAATTATCAACAATGTAATACTGTGGTTAAATGACTTTCACCCACCTTATTATATGACAGTTTGAAGAAAAATTGAATCAGTTCAAAACAGTAAAACAAAATGACAAGTTTGAGTCAATAATATAATTGATACAATCTACAATTTCGGCCTCAATTAGAGATAAAATTCACGCTTATTCATTCGATTACCGTACAGAACAGGAAAGACTCATATCCAAAAATTTTTTTTTTTAAAAAACCGAGAAATTATTGTGATGCTTACAACGAACTAACGTAATTTTAAGAAATGTCACGCCTTTTCTGTAAAAAAAACTCCTCGGTCTTCCATTTAACCTATCCATAACAACGTAAGGTACAAGAATAGAACAGTTTACAATTCAATGATAATAAGAAGTCACTTCACCAATTGAAGGAACAATGTAATAATAACTCTGTCGCAAAATTAAATATTTCAAAAACTTTGAAAGAAGTCATACACTCTCAACTCTTCCGTAAACATGTGAAAGTTTGAAGACATATCATCTTCGAAATTTCAAAATTTTCAACTTTTGCTTTTTTGAGGCCTTCAAACAAATATTCATGTTATTTAATAGGCTGAAAATATTATATTCTTGGCTGTTCAGGAGATGAAAATTATAAATCAGTCATAATAGAGTAAGAAAGAGTAAGCCATTGTTCCAAATTATCTGAACTGTGAAAATGTACTGCACGAATCTCTTCGTCTGCGCTTATTCCTCTTCAAATGTAATTCCTCGAAAAATTAAAAAATTTTAGCTCTGCTTATAACATAACGCAGTGATAATGTTCTTGGCTCGTAGACTCACCAATGCGTTTTGCACCCGTTTGTTACTACCGTTTATTCGGCGAGATTTATGGTACTGAGATTTGCACTTGTTTATTGTGTGGTCATAAACGTTTCCAAAGATGCAAATATGTTAAGTGGTACAAAGTCAATTACAAGCGACGCATTTTATTACATTTTAAATCAGCTTTATCTTTTAGATAAATATTTCAAAAAAAAAAACTCGACAATGATAATGTTAATGAAAACGAAAGTAACATTGCAAAAGGCACGTCTTGGATATATGCATTTCAAAAACTACACTTTGTGAACTCTTCCTCAGCGTCATCTACATTCTTTTGGAAATTCTCCAGAGCTCAGTTGAATTATGCATATCAGCTTTTTTTCGTTATGTTAATAAAAGAATGAAGAATTTACTGGACTGATGGGAAGACTTACTCAAATTAACAATTCAAAAAGAAATTTTCGAGAAATAAAACGCTTAAATAATCGTCCAATGAATTTAAACAGCTAGTTTAAATCTCAAATACAATCAAAGCACAATATTTCAGATTCAGATCTTAATTATCTTTCTCAGCAACAAAATCGTTCCTTTGGTTGTAGTTTGAAGCAAAAAGTTGTGCAAAAATGAGCAAGTGAAAAAATTGAATTTCCAAAATAGTGAAAACGCAAAACTAAACGAAATAACAAGGCACGAAAAAGAGATGATATGAATTGGAGAAATAAAAAAAAATTACGCTTAATAAAACTATCAACACCATTTACAATTCCGTTTTACTGCGATGGCACTCGACTAAAGTAAGAACGAATAATGAAATTAGTAATCGAATGTTCTTACATATCGTTGATTTCAATCTTCGTTCTGATGATGAATCTGATAAAGATATTCCCTAAAAAAGACGCCAAGAAAAGTAAATGACATAGCAGACAAGAATTCTATTAAAAGACGAATATAAACAGGGAAAGAGAAAAAGAATAACCTATATTAGCAGAAAATAGGAGAACAAAGGAAACAACAAGGAACAATGAATAAGTGTATACAGTTAAGGCAATCTGGAAAATTAGATCACATTTTGACTAAATATTTTGTGGTAAAAAAGAAACAATTAAGACAACAATAAAGACGTATTAAACTAAATTACAAATCGTTGCAAGAAGATCAAACTCAGTATCCCAAATCCAATTTAGCAAAATGGTTATAATGAATCAAATAAGAATACTCCGCCATGACAGGTCAATTTGGGTTACCTTTCTCCAAGTAAAACGAATTTGGAATCTAAATCCTTTATATCTTTACCTTTAATCTATGATTCTTAATTGTTTCAGGCAGGTATACATTAATTATATTTGCTTTGACAACCCTAACACACAAATCACCAGTAAGTAGAACATTTCAAGGTGACTTACTACTGGTTTCAATTTGTTCCGACAAAATACTTCGCCGCATATCATCGTTACTGTTTCTCAACACCGTATAAATACTATCCACTCCAGCAAGTTGTTCCAAAACTGGGATTATGTCTAATAGTTCAACATCGTTCGCATCGTCGAACCACGTTTGTACCGGAATCTGGAATATAATATTTATTGTTTTTGGGAATGACAATGGATTATTAAAAATAATTTTTTTATTCATTAATTCAACAAAAAACTTTCTCATCATGCGATATCAGAATGAAAGGTGAAATTTTTTTATAATCTCAATATTCACTAAATGTTACTAGATTGAATCTACTTTTCCAATATTAGAAGAGCTACTGAAAAAAAATGGGAGTGTTCCCACCATCAGACAATGGAAAAAGGATCAAAGAGAAAACATACTGCATTATCGGGGTGAAAAGCGTAACTAGCTGGTGAATTATCCACAATGATCACTTTCTTTAAATCGCGTCCAAGCCTTGTTAAATCCTGAAGAAAGCAAATGAAATGACAAACAGAAAAATCCGATTCCTATTGCAGTTACTCTCAGCGTTAAAGGTGATATGATGCAGTTATACAATTTCAAATTCTACAAAAACCTTTAGAATGTAATGTAACATAGATACTAAATAGGCGCAGAAAAAACATGTCTGAAAATAATCATTGAATAAAAACAATTAAAGCACACCTTGACGTAATTACCCTTATGGAAAACGCAAGATTCTCGAAATAATCGAGCGCGAAACACACCTCGTTTATCTAAGAAATCAGCAACTGGATCGGCATACTAAAATCCATGAAGAATTTTGAAATATTCTTCAAGAAAAATTTATTCATCTCTACTACACTACTTGTCACTTATCAGTAGTTTTAATCTCCGCTTCATAATGTATTTATCCGTTTCTTTATGCTTTGTTTATTACCACAGCGATAAATCGGTCTTAGCCATCATTGGAAGTGGTGTAAATTATTCTTCCGTAAAAAATTTAAAGGTCGTAAAAATCAGTCTGCTACATTAATCCAAAGTTAATACTCGAAAATAAAAATATATATCTTATCAAATGTTTAACCGATTTATATACTAGTTAAAGATAAGCATCTTATTTTAGCTGCGGTAATCATTCTTCACTATCTCTGTTGAAAATGTGCAACACCATGTATTTTCTTATTTTTTCCACTTTGTTTTCAAGGATATTTTTTATATGGCTTTCAGGGGGGTTTTAAGGTTTTAAGATATTTAATAGGTTTTTTATGATGTTGCACGTTTCCCTCCACAAACCGCATTTTTTAAGAAAAACATACTTTCGCAAGGCTGGCTGTGAACAATACACATTCAAACTTGTCACCTATCCTTTCCAGAAACTCATCCACATAAGGCCGTTTCAACACATAAACTTGGTGAATAACGTTATCGATTTCAACCGGTATTATAAAATCCGGATTCTTCACCGGCTGAAATATATTTATTAAAAGCAGGTGCTTCAAAAAGAAGTCATAAATCACATATCCTTTTTAAAAAAAACTGTTAAATAGGATTACTTAACAACATGCTGACGATCGATAAATTAATAATTCACATGAAATCGAAACAGAATAATAAAAAGTCTGATTTTAGATATTTCATTCCTATATCATATCTAAAACGTTTTTAGTTTCAAAGTTTTAAACTTACAAGTCTCCACACGAAATTAAACTTAAATTCTCTAATTAGCATAGAGGGAAATATTATTCGACTTATGGGTTTACATCAGATCCACAAATGAATAATATGCTAAAATTTACCTTGAATGAAGAATGCACCAACGTTTCGTCCAAATCAATAATAAGACACTTTTTATCTCCATCACATGGACGCACTGGAGGCAACAAAAGTTTGTCGGAGAGTTGCTGAAACTTCATCTTTTTCCTCAGAAATATTCAAATTTTTTAAATTATCAAATTGCCATTAAAGCTTATACTTTGCACAAAAAAAAATTTTCATAGCTATCGCACTTTCATTGATACCGAAACCTCTTGAATATCAAAGTTCAATTTCTCACTTGATAATTTCATTTTTACATTATGTTTTAATATTTTTCGACTTTGATATTACTCACGATACCCATTTCTTTTGCTGCATTTGAAGTTAAATGATCCAAATACAGTTCTAGCTCAATCCCTCTCCCAATTTTAGCTCAGCTATATCGTTTTAGTAAGTTAACACATGAGTTAATATCCTTTGATAGAAGTGAAGAAAGCTAATCCACATATTGTTCTGAAATATTTTTGAGTAAAAAGATTTCATTTTTTCCTCAGAAATACCTATCACTACTTATTCATCATCATTAACGCCCTGATATATTTCGTTTAAACAATCAAAGTTGCACGTAAAAATTAGATGGCTAGACTTATTCATCATCATGAAACAAAACTGAACCTGTATTTTCAATCAAATGTAAAAAAGTTCAATGGGTAAATATTCCCTAATCTTCATCCTCAATTTTTTTCCCAATTCTGAGTTAACAAAATCAATATTTTACTTTTGTTGCTTTAAGACACAAAACTGTTTTCTTCCTTTTGACACAAAATTTTGCGGTGATTTTTTCTACATTTTCATGCTTCTGGACACATGTTGCGATTCGGAAACAATATAAGCAGGTATTTTTATGATTCTGATTTAAATTGTATGATTGTAAAGATAAGGCAGATATTTCTAAAACTAAATCGTATAATTACAAAAGTGAAAAACTTCTTTGAGAGGAATCTCTATTTTTTGATTTTTTAAAATGAAAAATTTTTAATCCAGTTTTATGACACGCCATTACGTTTTCTAGCAATTTTCTTCTATTCCGCTGCTGAACAATGAAAACAACAACAATTTCATTGAAATTTCTACTAACCAAATATTCAAAATTCCATAGAAAAGAGATGAATTTTGTCGCACTTCAAACGACAGTGACTCCTTTTCTTTTCATTTAGCATACAGTTAAACGGAAGTACAACAAAATAAACTATCCGAAATTTAATTTACGATCAGAGGTCCAGATTTACAGGTCCAAAAGGTGAGAAGAAGGAAGCACGGAGAAAAAATAATATAAGCTTATCTATGAAATTTCGGAAGTAAAGCAATACTGAATGATGTGATAGCAGCAAGACCGTAGACAAAGATTTTGGAAACCGATTTCAAGAAGTCAAGAGTTACCTGTTAAGAAGCTAACTATTAATGGATGCTGAAATTTTTACTTTCTTCAAAACGCTACAGATATTTATCATTATAAGTGACACGCAACGCAAAAATACAAAAATTACGTTGTCGCATGAAAATTAGAAAAACACTTGAAATTTTGTGCATCCATAGAAGCTTAAATTCTTTTATTTTATCCAGATATTTTCTGCACATGGATAAATGACTCCAAAAAAATTGGTGGTGTAGGACTGATCTTACCGGTTTTCAGCTTATTCTTAATACAAAACTAGCTCCAACTTTTCAGAAACTTCGAAAAGTGGAAAAGAAACAACTTAGTATCAGTTCGGGTTTACCATCGAAGAAACTAGAGATTAATTCGCCAATTGCCCACATAATTTACCCCTTAGACCTGGCGAAATATTTGACTTAAAACAATTCTAAGAAACATTTGTTGTTAAACATCCCTCACAATATCAGACCGATTTTTCTCCAACTAATGACGCTCATATTGAAGTGAGTTAGCTGCTGTTGCTGAATAGAATAAAATGGAACAAAAAAGCTAAAAATTTCGCATCGAGGAAAAATAGTATGGAAAAGGATGAAACTGTTTAGCTCATCATCAAAATATATCGCCATACTATCAAAAATAACAAATATTTTGATAGTTTTTTATAGATTCAAAAACAACAAACATTCAAAAACGCTACCGCCCCGTTATGTTGAGCTTACGTAATTTAAATGTTATCTTGGAGCAATTAAAATTTAGCAGATTAAATTTGTCCACCTCTCATGCTTCAGTAAACGTATCTTATTTTATCTACTGATCTAAAAAACAATCGTTTTAAATCTAGCCAAACATAATCCTTCAATTGAAATTGCAGCGAACGAGAAGTACACTATGAAATGAGTATGAAGAGAAATATTATCCATTAGGATCCTTCATTTACTTTAGTTATGCTATTTCCTTCTTATATTCATGTCTTACAGCACTGAAGAAAAATTTTTCAGAAAATAGAATTTTCCTGATATTCACGAACTAACATATTTTCGATGCTATACACAGTCAGTCAGAACATGAAATTAAGGAAAAGTAATTAGGAAAAATGCCATAGGAAAAGACGGCAAACAGGAGACTGATCAATGTAATAAAATGTAATAAAAAAGAAAAAAATTTTCTTTATTAAAGGCCAGTGTGTTTATAAAAAAAATTATCACCCTAAAAATGTGCAAGGAATATAAATAGCAAGTATGCAGAAAATGGAAAATATACTAAAACGGAAAAAAATTTTTTAGAAACTTCAATGCGAGAGCTTGGTCAAACAAAGTTTTATTTCTAAAAAAATCAAACCTCCGTTGATAAAATGAAATTTTTATCATTTCAGCAGAGTAAGACTGTCATATATAAGGTTGTTTGAGTTCAATTCAATCACTCTAAATATCACTTCTTAAGACTTTTAAATGATGATAAAAAGATACGCGATTAAACGATCTTATGAAAAAATAGGATAATCTGTGCACTTCATAAATATAATGAAAGCTCACATCATGGACATGCATGTGCGCACAACAGTAATAGACTGTTAAACTTTTGTATGACTTCAGTTGAGTCATACAAATGTTCAACATCTACTATGCATCTAATGCTCATCTATATTTATGTAAAAAACATTACCACATAATGGCACAACTAGCTCTAACAATTTCCTTTCTCAAAAAAGTTGGAGACCGAAAAAAAATAACACAAATGTCTTAACATCATTGTGTGCACTATTTTTAATTGACGCAGACTGCAAAAACACGTCAAAAAATTCAAAATAACTTACTCTAATGATTCTAATGATTTAAAAAATTGAAGAAAAGACTTTCTAAATAAATAATACACACACTAGTCTATCTTTACTCTGAATTCTGACTTTTTTATCTTAATTGTAAGACGATGATTTTTGGAGGGTATGATTTTCGAACCAAAAAATTTGAAATAAACTTAGAGTGATCATCAGTGAAACGCATAAAAATCAATGAAACAGCCAACAACATAATTTTTAACTAATTTTAAAATCTTGTTAAAAAATCTCGTAATTGTAATCCAACTAATGAGGAAACTGACCATAGGAACGTATTCTCCGCTATCATCATAACTGTCAGCTGAATAGGAATCATTCACATTGACACTTGTTCCATTTACGTTTGTCCCGTTTTGTGAATTTTTTGTTACCTGAGTAATTAATGACTGTGGAGTTGAGGTCGATGGAACCGGATGAAGTGTTCGTCGTTTTGCTAAAAAGTAGCAATGTTGAATACGAAATGCTTGAAATGATGTTATCCAGCAACTATAGGATAGTAAAATAGCATAGTAAAAGGAGAAAGTACATTTCATGACAATCAGTGTCGTTTTTCTTCCGTGGAAACATTGTAACAACTTTAGGTGAGTGTAATGAAAAAAGAGATAAACTGAATTTCTGAAATTTTAATAAAGTAATGCTATAACTCATTTCATTACTAATTCAACATTGTTATAGCTTTCAACAAAAATTAAGAGTAACCTTTAATAGTGGCTTCAGGTCGTATACAGCAGCAGAATGACTGGAGGAATTTAGGCACGTGTGGCTTACCACGTGATGAGGCACTTTTCGAAGATTTGTTTCGGACATTTTTTGCTTCTAAAAATCTCGAAAAGATGAATGGATATTTGAAGAGCATTTGAAATAGGAAAATGTGATATCTCATCAATTTATGTCAGAATAAAACCGAAGAATATTTAAAAAGCAACAACAACTGGTATTTTTTAAAGTGCTACTTAATTCATTTATTTAAATGATCAAAAAAAAACGTTGTTGGATATCAAAATCGACATAATAACCAAGTCAAATTATGAATGATACCCAAATAAAATGATAACATGATCGAATCTTTTGATCTTACCTATCTATGAAAAATCTTACATGCGATGGTTTACCTACTGAAATCCTGGCAAAAAATTCTTGCACATAGAAAAATCTACATAAGTTAAATCATGGACTAAAATATGAAAAGATGAAGAGCTAAAATGTGCAGAAATGAAACTTAAAGAAAAGAATAGATAGAAATATTTCGCCAAATCCACGGTACAAGAATATTATAGTGCCAAATTTCATCACTTTAACTGTCCTATCGCTATTAACACCAATCTTAGTCGTATCGCAATGCCAAGAAGCACAACAACAAACGTTTATGGCGTTTAAAAAGACTTGGTACAACAAATTTACTTCCCTAAATTTCGAGAATTTTGATAACAGAACAAGCCAATTCCAAGCAATAAATCTCAATTACTGTTTATAAACTAAAATCTATACGATCATTTACTTCCATTTCAAGATGAAATTTCTATAAAATAGAATGTAGCGTGTGGGAAAGCGACAAATGTTTTGAAAAATTTGATAAAACAGTTTTTTAACCTACTGAAAATTTTATGTGATAACAATATTCATTCAACAAATGAAACATGAAAAAAAAACAGTGAGTGATTCAGATAATATTATTTGAATCAAATCGTTCTTGACTTCAAAGTGAACAAAGAATCATGTGTCACAGATATATATAGACTGCTATTCATTAGGAATATCTCTAAAACAAAATATAAGACGAGACAACTGATCATCTGTCATAGTACCCAATGTCTGTTAATACCCATCATCAGGAAGGTACTTACGTCAATTCAAGTAAAAGAAACGACTTAGTAACGTGCCAATACTTGAAATTTTTAATGAAGCTAGGTTTGGATCGAATTTGAAATAATGTTGCAAGTTTACAACACTACATATAGGAAAATTACTGATGTGCAAAAAATAATAATCACCTTTATCCTTAGATATTGATCAAATTAATAGTGCATCATATTTACCATTAGTACTTTTCACAGCACCCCTTCTCTTACGAAGTGTTTCTAACTGTAAGTTCCTATCACTAACATTGGTATATTCTTTGTCAGTACTATGCCTCGGAAAAGAATTTTCGACATAAAAATCCGCTTCCATTTATAATACACCAGAAGTATTGTACCATTTTCAAATCGACGAAGTAAGCCGGCCATTAGAGTTTGGGATTTTTTACCAGAACCACCATCGGATGCAAATGACAATTTTGGATAGATAATCTGTTCGTTAACTGATGATGCACTAAGGCTGGATGCAGACGGTGTTGACTGTGTCATGGGCTGAGAATCAGGGACAATCCTTGTCGAAGGTAAGGTAACGGTGCCGGAAAAAGTATAGGCTGAATTGCCATAACAGATTTTTGGCCAACATGGACGCGGTGTAGAGGCAACAGTTAGTGGGAAGCGATTGGGTGCATAACCACATGGAACGATTTTCTGCAGTCGTTGTGAAGCTCCTCCATCTGCATTGCTGTGGTTTGCTTCACTCGAATTCATGTTGCTTCCAGGTTCCACTCCAGCATAACTACTTGTAATAACACTTCTAAGCAAAGAAATGTCATTTTTCGTCCATTCAATATCATCGTGATTCCAGAAACAGGTTGCACCCACATCTTCAGCACTGTGCCATGAATCCAGAATTTTACCGTTCTGATACATAGACCTTGAGCTACTGGGCACTTCAATACCTTTGCAATTCCTTAAGGTACTGCTGCTTGACAAAGGCGCCCCCTGTCGTATATTGAAACGCCGTAATCCATGAACTGCTACTGAAGAATCCTCCTGTGACCGGATGTTCGATTCATCATTTTTTTCCATTGGAAAGCAGAGCCTGTGAAATTCGTTTAGAATAATAAGTGGGAAAGATGTGTGAGAAGATAATTAGGAAAATATACGACTTGACGACAAAGAATCGAAAATTTTTTCAGTCGTTCCTGGAAAAACAAAACGGTTAAAAACAAAAAGCACAGTGGAATATTTGCATCAAAATCACTCGCAATACCGTGAAACTTTTTGTTTCAATAGTTAGCTCAAGATAGATGGCTGGAAAGAAATCATTTCTAATTATAAAATAACAGCAAGTAAGATGAACCGTATGAACCATTGTGCATTTCACCTCTAGAGAGATTACTTTGGAAATGAAATATACAACGAGTTTAGTGTGTCATTAGCAGTGCAATGACCTAACGACAGTCTCCAGAATTGGACCTGTTCTACAAGCAGTCTTAAGATATTCAAAGTCTGTCTTGTTATATATCTTTTTTATTTTTCAAATACATTTATCTATTACACATTTAAAAACGAGAAGCGTCATATGAAGCAATTAATGTCTTAGAGAAACTACATAACTATTATTACAATATTTCAAAAAAAAAAAAAACAGAAGCGCAAGAACTAACCAATAGAAGATATGTTTCTATCAATTATTGTACCTAACTGATTAACAACTGTAATGAATATTTAATTCCAGCATGAAGTATTGAAATAAAAGTTATAAGAATATATTTATTCAAACACAGTTAATATTTCTCTATGTTTGTTGAAGTTCTTCCGCCACAAAAAAGCCATCAGTTATAAATTTCATTATGCAAGGTTATTGAATAAAAGAAAAAAATCGAAGACATGAAAAGAACTGAATGGTGAAGTCCAGCGAAAGTTTCGGCAGATATTCATATATTTGAAAAGAAGCGTCACTTCTTATACATCCCATGGTCAAACAGTCAAAAATTAAATGTAATTGATCAAAAATCGGCTGGCTTTTTTACACTGCGTATGATAATATCCTAAATCAAAGAAGCGCTATATCGGAGAAATATGTAAGCAAGCAATTGGAATAATACTGTACGTTAGACAGCAAAGGTTCGAAAAATTATATCTGAAAAACAATTAAAGATAAAAAACACAATGGAATTTGCATCTAAATCATCCGTAACTTTTTTTCATATATATCAGTCTTCAAAACACTGTTTTTCCTGATAAGTGTTCCAGCTGAATAATAAAAACTCAAGAATTAAAAATCAGCCCTCAGTATTCATTTTTCATCCCTCAAAAGCATGGCTATAATTTGTAAATTGAAATTTCTACGTTGATTAATTTATTAGCACTCTTATTTTCGATGCTTTAAGACACAATCCATAGTTCTAGAAATTAAAAATTCGAATGCAATTGATGAAATAAATCAGCTATGTCGTGTGCAATGATTGGATGACAAATGGAGCGAATTTTTGAAACTTAAAAGATATGCTAAGCATTTATCTTCTCTAGCCATCAGAATTTGAAATAAATCACTTGAGATGAAAGTGATGATGATTTTTATAACAGTTTGCTGCCGGCAGGAACAAAAGGGAAAAAATGGACAATATGCGGTATTCCATAAGCTATAAAGTATCGGAAGTGAGAAATGAGAAGAGACGGAAGTTGAAGACAGATGAATGGGTGATAGTCATTGATTCTTTAAGATAAAAAAAGATAACATATTTCGCTTGCTTCACATTACAAATACAATTATGAATGGATTTTTTTATCACGATAATTTTCGAGTTCTTCATAAATAGCGGTACAAAACAGATATGATCAAACGGTAAAAGCACCCTGTTCTTGCACTTAAACAAAAATTGTTTGCACTGAGCTATACAATGATCCATAATATATTAATGGTAAGCAAAGGAATCACAAAATAAAAATTCTAGTGAAAAAGTTGGTTTGCTTTAAAATGACATTATCGATGCTATACAAAGTAGCATAATCATCGAACAGAATGGAGTAGTAATAATAATAATAATAAACAACGACAGCAACAATGATAATAATAATGATAGATGCCTAAAATTAGATCAGTTGGTGGGAACAGAGTTCTCTTTTGTTACTGGTGAGTACAGAGAAGAGGGTAGAGAGATGTTAAGGTGAGGCGGAAAAGTCATTATTATGGAGTGAAGAATAAAAAGAACATGCTCCTCCTTTGTTAGCTGTTGTTGTTGAGGAAATTGTGGCTTGTACGGCATGTTTGCACATGGCTGTTGCTTGCTATTTGTCGATGAAGAATGCATGCTTAGAGGAATGACGAGGAGGAAGGAAGGTAGAGACGGTGATGACGAATGATGAGAAGCATCAGTAACAGCAGCATAGCAGCTCGAGCTGACTGAATGATAGGCACTTTACTAGTTAGCGTTAGTGAATACTTGTCGGAAGGATGTACTTCACATGTCTTTTCCTCTGCTACTTCCCTGAGGTTGTCACTTTCGCGATGAGGCTCCTGCTCTCCAGCGACGTACTGCATCTCCTACACTTCACTGCTCCTGCTACAATCTGTTGCCAGTGATAATTGTTAACATTAAAATCTTAAGAGGTCGTTGTCGATTTGATGCATTGTAAACAGAATCACTACATGTACAATCGCCATGATAATATACAAGCAACGATACAAACGGACGATAAAATGCCTTGCGTCATTAATGCTGATATGCTCATGCACATTCCTTTCCACAATACTTCCACAGATTTCGTCGCACCTATAGTTTCAATATCCCTCAACTTATCTTTCATGTCCTTTGCGGCGGCATGATTACAATACTATCTTTTATTGTCTATTCCCAACATGCATACCTTATCTTATTTTTTCATCACCAGTCAGATAAACTAGAGTAGTTCCGCAATAAAGCTGTAATGGTAGATATCACTTCAATTCGGGATTTCCTAAAAACGAAAACAATCTTTATTTTGTGTAGCTGCGATAAGGCCATAATTCAAACTACGATTGGAGGAAGTAACTGCATGACCTACAAAATTTAATGTACATTGCATGCCTTTATCATAAAAGAAATGCTTATACAAACAATTTTATCAGAAATCAAGTAGGATTAAACTTACTAATCAATTAACTAATGAAGAAGGAGTAAGGCGAAATGTTGAAGTCTTCAATAAAAAATAAATAATTTGAATACATAAGGGAACATCCGAATTAAGAGTGTGAAACAACAAAATGAACATTTAACATAGCCCAAGTTAAGCGATTTATGGATCGACATCACAATGAAAAATTAGAAAGAACGTTTTATCAATAACCATCAGTTTCACGAACTTAACGCAAGTTTGGTTAATTCACTACTCCTAATTAAAGCTTGATAAAGTAAACTTTTAAGATAGTGAAAAGTCAAATAATTTTGGGAAAAAAGAACAAAGTAGCCTAGCAAATCCGATAATAAAAGTGTAAAGTTTATTCGACTGTAACGAAACTCTTCTTTACCTCTCAAAAAAATGATGCAAAAAATCCCTCTTTTGTATCATCATCATCATAACAACCATTCTATTAGAGAAAGTAATAATTTCAATTAAGCTTATTTAATCCTATGAGAAATATCCTCGTCATTTAACAGTTTCTTATCATAACTGATGTTTATTCAGATCTGTTAGCAAAACTCATTTCTCGCTGTCAGACTCTTAAAATAGTTATACCATCTCTCTCTCCTTCTCTCTCTCTCTACAGCAACCTCTCATTTATTGAATGCAAACACTTTTGTTGAAATTTGGTACTTCGTTCACTAAAACACGTTAGTTGTTTGCTGTCGTTGTTATTCCACAGCGAATCAAAAATTTGTTCAGCATCTGATGATAACTTCAAGCACAAAAACGAAAAAAAAGTTGACTGCTTCTGACAATCTTTTTTTGTTGATGATGAAGAGACAACTGGCAATGTATGAAACAGCAGAAAATTGCGTCCCCATATCAAATGTTTATATCAGGTAGAATATAAAAAATTCAAAAAAGTAAAAAAAATTGAACTTTGAAGCATAGCTTATATCTTCCATCCAGAACCAATTGGGCAAGGCACGACCATAACATGTAACAGATGTTTCGATAAACGATGATGTCCTATCAGCAAAGCTAGATTCAAACCAAAGCGGATGAATTCCAAAAACAATTCCACAAATCTATAAGCACTAAGTTAACATTCCAGGACTAATCTAATAAAGAAGAAAACTTCCTCGCTGGTAAGAAAGTAAATAAGCAACCTGCTCAGTAGCCTGAGATGCAATTTCTAAAAGAGAAACTTCAATTAGCAGTGAAAAAAATTTTTCAAAAAATATTACAGGATGGACAATCCCGTATTCTTCCTATGTATGCAGCTAAATAAGGTATAATTTAAAATCATGATTGAGAAAGAATACAAAAACAAAATTAAGACTCGAGTACTGCGATTACAATCACTGAAATTGTTGAGATAGTGGAGAGCGGATTGTTACCAGAACAAAATTTCTATTTAATTAAAAAAAATGATTTTCTCTCCGCTTCCATCTTTCCTCTCCTCAATTGCCTCTCTTTTCATTTTTCATAACTCCCATATTATTCCACAGATCAACTGTATTAAACCTAATGATAAGTATTATAATCCTTTTCTCCAGAACTAAACACACAAATATGACAATGGAAAGTACGTTTAAAAATGAATTCATTCATAGAACTGAATAGGTTTTAAAAAATGAATAACGAATCTCTCTCCTCTTTTCTAGTTAAAGGCGTTTGTGGATGAGATAAAAATCGGAAGTTTAATATACAATATGAACACATATACTTACTTTCATTACCTTAATTTCTACCAAAAGCATTATGTTTTGAAAAGGAAAAGGAGTTGAGGAGCACTGCAGTCACTGCATGGATTCTCATCTAAAAATCCGGTTTCTCACAATCCAGAACAACTTTGACTAGACGATATTACTCATGTCTTGCAAGGAAAATATAAATAACCATTTTTACATTAATTAAGCTATTCCTGTAAAAAGAGAGTTGAGAAGCTATGCAAAGAACTTAACAGAATATAGGATTTGAAACCGAAAACATTAAATTATAGACAAGGGAAAAGAGCGCATTTGAGGAAATGATAACATTATCTCTTAAAAATTTTAAAAGATTGGATAAAAAAGAAGGGAAAATACGTGGTTGACCTTGCGATTCTTCACAATTTTCGGAAATGAAAGGCAAACGGTGTAATGTTACATAACGTACCGTTGCTTTACATATGATTACACTCAAAAACAAGTCTGTCTCTCCTTCCCCCATTTTTTTATCGGTTATAATGAGTGTCAACTCTCAGCGGGGTTAACGCAATGGCTAAATGGTATAACTGACATAGCAGAAAATTTCTTTTTTAACGGAAACGATGAAAATAACGAGAAAAAAATTTTAACGGAAAGGATGAAAATTCCATTCATATTTCCAAACAAATTATTCTATGGGTATAATTCTCCTCCAGAAACAAATGTAAAAAGTTAACCAATCGACCAGTCAAATATTTAACTTCAACTATTCAATGATTAGACGTATTCCTTCTACTTTATTCAATTGTTATAACCGAATTTAATATAAATTATTCGACGTTATCATTTAAACCTGTAATTCCTCTTTACCATTCTTAGCATAGTCTACAACAAATTAGTATGACGAGCGTGAATGAAAAAATCATTGAACTAAAATCCAACAAAGTAGAGCAGATCTTTCGTTGTTAAAATCGCCAGAAAAATGCTAAACTTTGAAACCAAAACTGGCTTTGATTCGATGCCAAAAAGATGTATGGCAAGCTGGCACTGCTTCGCTACGCCCAACATATTTCAAGTTAACATTCGCGCTTGCCATACGCAACATTCAAATATTTATTCATCCCTTTTTTATTAACTTATACTTCTTACTTTCGTTATAGTAATCTTAAATGGCTCGAATATTATCAAAAGAAATCAAGTCCAAAAAGATAAGTGTTATTGATAAGTGCAAAATGGATTAAGTTGAGCATGTAGTTTTATCTAAAAAATAAGAATTTCTTTTTCGGACCAACTAATATTTTATATTAGCCCATAATATTTGTATGCATAAATAAACCGCAGTACGGAAGCACAAAGTAGTGAGTAAAACAGCTGTTCTTTCTAGCCGAAAGGCTTGATTTCAAACGAACAAAAATTGATATTAAATGTCTGGAAATAAACTTGCACAATCTTCATCCGAAAAATTTAAAGATTCTATATAATTTTGGAACTTCATAGAAAAATTCATAAAATCCAAAAATTCATAAAAATTCAAAAATTCATAAAATTACCCATCACATTTCACTGCTGATCTACTTCAACTATTCATTTCGCGATGATAATTACAGAATCTAAAACTTGTTTATTAGAACCAAAAATAATGCAGAAACTAGGAAATCCAAATAAGAAAAACTGTAATCAGCTAAACTCAAAAGATAACAAAGTTATTGATAGAAATGAGAAGTGACCGTTATTTCGCTCTTCATTGAAGCATGACCATTTTGCGAACCAGTTAAGATGAGATTAAAAAGAGAGGCCATGGAATTAACAGTACGGAACTTTCGCCCCCATTTTACCCCTTTTGCGTTATTTATGCACTGTAGATTTAATCATCAGAACTTTGTTCATAAAAGTGGAATAAAAGTGGGAAAGAAAAGAGAAGTGACGAAGAACCAAACTAAAATCATAAGAAACAATGAAATGAATATAGTTTATAATATAAGGTGAAGAGATCGTACGGAGGAGCAAAACAGAAAATCTTGTTTTACAGACTCACTGATTAGGCGAGTGACACAAACAACTTTCGCGGGTTTATCGCCCATTGTTTAAAAAGATTTTCCATTTCCATCATAACACCAACAATAGCAACCTTTGATGACGGAAATGAAAATGGGAATTTTTAGAGAAATTATTTAAAAAATCTTAATAACAGTTCAGAAATGATAATGAATAATGACCATAATATATAATGAATTGTTGAAAGTAACAATTTCAACCATTATAATTCATCTGTTGAAAAAACTTTACATATTTCGGATTCATGACTTTAGTTGGAAGATATGAAGAGTGGTTGCCCGATTTGCTTAGCAGATTTGGCAGAAATTCCTGGAGTGGGAAAAATGATGCTTATTTCCTCTCTACCGCAGAATGCTTTACATTCTTCAATTCCACATATTTCAAAAAATAAATAAAATAAAACTGTAACTGAATAATGAGATTGCATAATCTTTCGTTATTCTCTTATGCAAACGAATGAAAATGAAGAATTTTTAAGAAAAGAATTACGATTTTATAAATCATTTCAACAGGAAACTTTTTCGCGAGTTTTTATCCAAATCATGAAAACTTTTCTTAGAGTTGCAACGACTAAAGCTGGATTTCCAATCAATTTTTAAAAACTCCTTTAATAAAATGTATCTAATTTTTAGGACAACAACTAAAAAGATTATATAAAAAATTCAAACTTCTTTAAAATATTAAGTCATAAAGATCTTATATAACTAAGAAGAACTCTAAAAACTTAACGTCACCAATGCCACTTATTTGTTTTTAACTAAACTGCAATCTTCGTTCGTGAAAATTACTTAGCTGATCCGTTAATAAATCATTTGCTGTTTGGCAATTAGTCAAGTAGTAAGCTGGCTCCTTCTAAGAAAATCGAGTTATCGCTAACTGCTCAATTCAAATTATCACATTTCCAAGTATTCCTTACCAATTGTTTAATTACAAAAACTAAAAAACTAAGTCTGCAAA